CAGGACTCATTCCTGATTGCTTTTTCACCTTAGTCACCAAGGCAGGTGACTCAGTCAAATCCAGATCTTGCTGAGATGGCTCACTAGCTGCCTAGCTCTGGGCTCACTAGCCAACTAGCTCTGGGGACACTGTCTCTACATTTTACGTCTGGAATTATAGGCAGACTGCCACACCTGCCCAGCGTTTATGTGGGCTCTATGATCCACACTTTTACCCTCAGTCTTCCGTGACAAGGGTTAAACCACTGAGCCATCTCTCTACCTATGTGACAGAAGTGAAGGAGGAATCTCAAACACACACTACTAAGTGAAAGACACCAATCTATAAGGGTAATGAACTGTGCAGTTCCAACTCTATGACATTCTGGAAGTGGCACACCAGTGTGGAGTGTGAACAGGTTATGTGTTAATGGGAGTTGGAGATGAGAGGGGTGAATAGCTGGAACACAGGAGACAGTAAACTGCCCCATGTATGGTATGCACGATGCTATAACGGTAAACACATTACTATACACTTGTCCAAACCCATAAAATGTACATCACCAAGAGTGAACCTAGTAGAAAAGTGAGATTATCAGGTTAATCAACTGTAATTGAAGGGTCACTCTGATGCAGATGTTGACGGAGGGGAAGGCTACATGTCATGGTTAGCGTTGTCAACCTGGTACAACCTAGAATCACCTGTGAAGAGAATCTCAGTGACAGAGTGTCTAGTTCAAGTGGGTCTGTGTGCATGTCTGTGGGGATTGTTTTGATTGCCTTAATTGATGAGAAAAGACTCAGTGTGAACGTGGGTGGCCCCATTCCCTGCCGTTGAGCCCTGGATTGTAAGAGAGTGGACAGAGCTAGCTGTGTACCAAGTAGACTTCATTTTCTTTGCTTCTGATGTGACTAGTTCCCTTAAGCATTTGCTACTGTGACGTTTCCATTATGATAGACTGAAACTTGGGATTGTGAGACAAAATAAGACCCTTCTCCCGACACTGGTTTTTGTCAGGGCAATTTATCACAGCAACAGAAACGAAACCAGGACGCCATGCCTGAGTGTGAACGGCAGGTATATGGGGAATGACTGTGTCTTCGGCTGAATTTTGTTGTAAACCTAAAACTGGTCTAAGAGTTGCTGCCAGAGGACCTGTGTTTGGCTCCTAGATCTTGGGTGGATCAACACCGCCTAGGACTCTGGCTCCATGGGATCTGAAACCTGCTTCTGGTCTCTGTAGGCACCTGCAATCACAGGCACATATCCAGTGCATGCATGCACACAATTTAAAACAAATTAATCTTTAAGAAGCTGTTCTGAAACATAAAGTCTATTAGACTTTCTGCCTTTTCTTTTTTGTTTTGTTTTGTTTTGTTTCAAGACAGGGTTTCTCTGTGTAGCCCTGGCTGTCCTGGAACTCACTCTGTAGACCAGGCTAGCCTTGAACTCTCGAACTCAGAAATCCGCCTACCTCTGCCTCCCAAGTGCTGGGATTAAAGGCGTGCACCACCATCGCCCAGCCGACTTCCTGCCTTTTCTAAATCCAGGTCCACAGTGCACAAACTGTTCCTGAGCCTTTGTTCTGTCTCCCTCTCCCTCTCCCTCTCCCTCTCCCTCTCCCTCTCCCTCTCCCTCTCCCTCTCCCTCTCCCTCTC